GTATAACAAGCATGCTTTACTGCATCTACAGACTGATTGTACTGTTGTGGGTTTAGTAACACTTTAATGTTGGCTTCACAAATATCTAATGAAGCCCCTAAAATCCCGGGTATTCTGGTTACCTTAGCTGACTATAGGAATTTCATTGTAAGCCGACTATATGGACGAGCCAGCCCACTAATCTCCCTTCAGGAATGTGTGATTGCAAACTGACCAAGTCCTTAAAAGGTCATATTTAGAGATGAGCGAATTAATCAAAAATTCGATTCGGCTGATTCGACGAATTCTTGGAAATAATTTGATTCGAGTCGAATATATTCGCTGCGAATTTAACTTATAAAAGGGTGTTTCTAGGCTTCAGAGAGCCTTTATATTAGTGCAGAACACTGTACCTTTAATTTAAATGCCCTTGGAGTCTGCTGGGGAAGAGAAATAATACTGTCAGTCAGTATGACATGCAGATGAGTGCCGTCGATCTTAGAATCACCGTACACTTCACTCATTTGGGCAGTCACGGGCCAAAACCAGAGTGTGGAGCCACAGTGTGGCGGTGGAGGCAGCAGCAATGGGAGGCCATACAGCACCCTATGACAAAATGGAACCCACCAGCAGTGTGAGGAGACCTGAAAGTGGCACATGGCAGAGTGTGGCGATGGAGACAGCAGCAATGGGAGGCCGTACAGGGACCCATGACACACTCTGGACCTGGCAGCAGCATGAGGAGGAGGTACAGGGGCCCATGACAGATTACGGGCCTGGCAGCAGCATGAGGAGTCGGTACGGGGGCCCATGGCAGATTACGGCCTGGCAGCAGCAATGGGAGGCCGTACAGGGACCCATGACACACTCTGGACCTGGCAGCAGCATGAGGAGTCGTACGGGGCCCATGACAGATTACGGGCCTGGCAGCAGCAATGGGAGGCCGTACAGGGACCCATGACACACTCTGGACCTGGCAGCAGCATGAGAGGCGGTACAGGGGCCCATGACAGATTACGGGCCTGGCAGCAGCAGCATGAGGAGGCGGTACAGGGGCCCATGACAGATTACGGGCCTGGCAGCAGCATGGGAGGCACAGGGACCCATGACAGACTCGGGAGGCAGCAGCATAAGGAGTCGGTACGGGGGCCCATGGCAGATTACGGGCCTGGCAGCAGCAATGGGAGGCCGTACAGGGACCCATGACACACTCTGGACCTGGCAGCAGCATGAGGAGTCGGTACGGGGGCCCATGGCAGATTACGGGCTGGCAGCAGCAGCAGCAATGGGAGGCCGTACAGGGACCCCATGACACACTCTGGACCTGGCAGCAGCATGATGAGGAGGCGGTACAGGGGCCCATGACAGATTACGGGCCTGGGCAGCAGCATGAGGAGTCGGTACGGGGGCCCATGGCAGATTACGGGCCTGGCAGCAGCAATGGGAGGTGGTACAGGGCCCATGACAGATTACGGGCCTGGCAGCAGCATGAGGAGTCGGTACGGGGGCCATGGCAGATTATGGGCCTGGCAGCAGCAATGGGAGGCGGTACAGGGGCCCATGACAGATTACGGGCCTGGCAGCAGCATGAGGAGGCGTACAGGGGCCCATGACAGATTACGGGCCTGGCAGCAGCATGAGGAGTCGGTACGGGGGCCCATGGCAGATTACGGGCTGGCAGCAGCAATGGGAGGCCATACAGGGACCCATGACACACTCTGGACCTGGCAGCAGCATGAGGAGTCGGTACGGGGGCCCATGGCAGATTACGGGCCTGGCAGCAGCAATGGGAGGCCGTACAGGGACCCATGACACACTCACTTCAATCCGTGAAGGAGGAGTAGCAGGAGAAGGAGCATCTGAACGAGCGGAAGATGCCAACGAGCGACAACTCCCCTCAGCAGAGGTGTGTTGGAGCCTTGACTGGCTGATAGAGGGCGATTGACGTCGGGTGACGGAGCAAGTAACGGAGCGGGTGATGGAGCGGGGGCTGGGCAGGCAGAACCGCCATATCTTTATCACGGTTTTCCCAGGCCACCGAATGGCGACGCTGCATATGCTGACGCAACGCTGTAGTCCCAACATGAGCCCCCTGGCCACGCTTGACTTTCTGGCCACATAGCAGATTACGGGCCTGGCAGCAGCAATGGGAGGCGGTACAGGGGCCCATGACAGATTACGGGCCTGGCAGCAGCAATGGGAGGCGGTACGGGGGCCCATGGCAGATTACGGGCCTGGCAGCAGCAATGGGAGGCCGTACAGGGACCCATGACACACTCTGGACCTGGCAGCAGCATGAGGAGTCGGTACGGGGGCCCATGGCAGATTACGGGCCTGGCAGCAGCAATGGGAGGCCGTACAGGGACCCATGACACACTCTGGACTGGCAGCAGCATGAGGAGGCGGTACAGGGGCCCATGACAGATTACGGGCCTGGCAGCAGCATGAGGAGGCGGTACAGGGGCCCATGGCAGATTACGGGCCTGGCAGCAGCATGAGGAGTCGGTACGGGGGCCCATGGCAGATTACGGGCCTGGCAGCAGCAATGGGAGGCCGTACAGGGGACCCATGACACACTCTGGACCTGGCAGCAGCATGAGGAGTCGGTACAGGGGCCCATGGCAGATTATGGGCCTGGCAGCAGCAATGGGAGGCCGTACAGGGACCCATGACACACTCTGGACCTGGCAGCAGCATGAGGAGGCAGTACAGGGGCCCATGACAGATTACGGGCCTGGCAGCAGCATGAGGAGGCGGTACAGGGGCCCATGGCAGATTACGGGCCTGGCAGCAGCAATGGGAGGCCGTACAGGGGACCCATGACACACTCTGGACCTGGCAGCAGCATGAGGAGGCGGTACAGGGGCCCATGACAGATTACGGGCCTGGCAGCAGCATGAGGAGTCGGTACGGGGGCCCATGGCAGATTACGGGCCTGGCAGCAGCATGAGGAGTCGGTACGGGGGCCCATGGCAGATTACGGGCCTGGCAGCAGCAATGGGAGGCCGTACAGGGACCCATGACACACGCTGGACCTGGCAGCAGCATGAGGAGGCGGTACAGGGGCCCATGACAGATTACGGGCCTGGCAGCAGCATGAGGAGTCGGTACGGGGGCCCATGGCAGATTACGGGCCTGGCAGCAGCAATGGGAGGCCCGTAATCTGCCAGCACCCTATGACAAAATGGAACCCACCAGCAGTGTGAGGAGACCTGAAAGTGGCACATGGCAGAGTCTGGCGATGGAGACAGCAGCAATGGGAGGCGGTACAGGGACCCATGACACACTCTGGACCTGGCAGCAGCATGAGGAGGCGGTACAGGGGCCCATGGCAGATTACGGGCCTGGCAGCAGCAATGGGAGGCCCGTGTAATCTGCCAGCACCCTATGACAAAATGGAACCCACCAGCAGTGTGAGGAGACCTGAAAGTGGCACATGTTTGGGGCATGATTCATGGCGGATTTAGTCAGTTGTGTCAGGAACTGGTGGTTTGAAATCCAGACTAATCCACGCCTGATTCATTTTCACAAACGTGAGTCTCTCCACACTTTGGGTGGACAGTCGTGTCCTCCGCGGAGTTACAATACCTCCTGCCGCACTAAACACGCACTCCGATGCCACGCTACTGGCCGGGCATGACAGCCTTTCAATGGAAAATTCAGCTAGTTGGGGCCAAAGGTCAAGTTTCGTTGCCCAGTAGTCAAGGGGATTGTCTACCTCGGTTGGCAGGGTGCTGTCCAAGTAGGCCCAAGCCTGTTGTTTGAGCTCCTGCTCCAGGTCCACCTGATGCTGCTGCTGCTGCGGCTGGTTAGTAGTTTTTCCTCACTGCGCTGGTGAAGAAAGCTACTCATCATCGACTGCAGACTGAGGCAGCCGCTGCTGGTGGAGCTGCCACTGCTCTTACCACCCCACCCCTCCCCTGCTGCCATGGCAGCGGAACGCGAGCGCACAGGGCCCCACAGTGTCTGAGGATGGACGTTGGCGCAGAAAGGCAGAGACCAACTGACTACATAGGTGATTTTTATAGTAAGTTATTTTGGCCTCCCTCTCAGCAGGTGTGAAAAAGGCCACCATTTTTGAACGGTAGCGAGGGTCCAACAAGGTGGACAGCCAAAAGTCATCCCTCTGTCTGATGGTTATTATTCGGCTGTCACTACGCAAGCAACCGAGCATGCTATGGGCCATTTGTGCCAAGGAATGCGAGGGACTCCCTGCCTCCATCTCCACAGCATACTGCCACGGTGCGTCTGGGTCCTCTGTCTCCTCCTCCTCCTCTACCAGATGCTCCTGCTCCTCCACTCCTGTCCGCTGAGTGGAAAAACCACCCATTTCACTCAAAATTCCTGAGCACAGATGTCCTCCTCTACCTCCAGTCTTCTTCTTCCTGTCCTGCCCCCACAGGGGTCATGTGGCGTTGAGATCTGTGCGCCACGTCTACCGCACCCTGACCAGCCCATTGTTAACAGCATTTGTTCCAGGACGTGCAAAAGAGGAATGACGTCGTTCATCCCATAGTCCTGCCGACTCACGAAATAGCAATGGCCTCCTCAAAGGGCCTGAGCAAGCGGCAGGTGTCACGCATGAGCTGCCAATGGCTGACATCGAAGTTACACAGGGGAGTACCTTTATCCGCTTGTAACATCAGGAAATCGGTGATGGCCTTTCGCTGTTCGTAAAGGCGGTCTAAACATGTGTAGGGTTGAATTCCACCTTGTGGCAACGTCGCAGATCAGGCGATGCTGTGGAATTCCGTTCTGCCGCTGCAGCTCAAGGAGGGTGTGCTTTGCGGTGTAGGAATGGCTGAAATGCATGCAAGTTTACCTGTCATTTTAAGGATGTCTTGCAGTGGGATGGTGGATTTTAGGAACCGCTTGACAACCAGATTGAACACGTGAGCCATGCATGGCACAACCTTCCTTGACGCAGAGCAGACACCATGTTCTTTCCGTTGTCGGTCAACATGGCAGATTACGGGCCTGGCAGCAGCAATGGGAGGCCCGTAATCTGCCAGCACCCTATGACAAAATGGAACCCACCAGCAGTGTGAGGAGACCTGAAAGTGGCACATGGCACAGTGTGGCGATGGAGACAGCAGCAATGGGAGGCCGTACAGGGACCCATGAGACACTGTGGACCTGGCAGCAGCATGAGGGAGGCGGTACAAGGGCCCATGGCAGATTACGGGCCTGGCAGCAGCAATGGGAGGCCCGTAATCTGCCAGCACCCTATGACAAAATGGAACCCACCAGCAGTGTGAGGAGACCTGAAAGTGGCACAAGGCAGAGTGTCGGCGATGGAGACAGCAGCAATGGGAGGCCGTACAGGGACCCATGAGAGACACTCTGGACCTGGCAGCAGCATGAGGAGGCGGTACAGGGGCCCATGGCAGATTACGGGCCTGCCAGCAGCAATGGGAGGCCCGTAATCTGCCAGCACCCTATGAGAAAAATGGAACCCACCAGCAGTGTGTGAGGAGACCTGAAAGTGGCACATGGCAGAGTGTGGCGATGGAGACAGCAGCAATGGGAGGCGGTACAGGGACCCATGAGACACTGTGGACCTGGCAGCAGCATGAGGAGGCGGTACAGGGGCCCATGGCAGATTACGGGCCTGGCAGCAGCAATGGGAGGCCCGTAATCTGCCAGCACCCTATGACAAAATGGAACCCTGGGCTGGGGCAGGCAGAACCGCCGTATCTTTATCACGGTTTTCCCAGGCCACCGAATGGCGACGCTGCATATGCTGACGCAACGCTGTAGTCCCAACATTGGCCCCCTGGCCACGCTTGACTTTCTGGCCACATAGTCGACATACGGCTACGTTTACTTCCTCGGGCGACTTGACGAAAAATTGCCACACCGCCGAGTAGGAAACTTTGCCCCCGCTACTCCTCACTGGCTGACTGCTACTTCCTCCTCCGTGCACACCGGCACCACTACTGGCCGTGGTGGTAGGCTGCAGTGGAGCTGGTGCTCTACTTCCGTGGCCGTTTGGCTCCACTGACACTGCTGCGACCCAGCTGCCTCCTGGGCAACCCACCGACTGTTTTGCTCGCTGCCAAGCTGGCACCCTCTTCTCCTGATGATGCGGAAGCAATAGCCTGATGACGACGAGGCTGCCAAGTGCGATCAGCCTCATCATCATCAATTAGGGTCTCCGCCTCACTACTAGCCCCCTCGGCTGCGTGTGGGTCAGGAGACAGACCTGTCTCTAGACCGGCTACCGAGCCACTCTCCTCGCCAGTACTTCTTCGCCTGGCTGCTGCTCCCGGGCCATGCCATGTGTCTGACGTACCCACCGACCGTTGGCTGTAGGTGTCAGAGGTGACCTGGGAAGAGGAAGACGACCGAGCCAACCAATCGATGATGGCAGGGTTGTCGGTGGAGACACACCGCTGGATGACACCGGGAGCACTGGCCTCTGGCTGCGACTAGTGCTGCCTCGACCCCTTCCTCTGCTGCCACGTCTGCTCGCTCCTGAAACATTGCCTCCTCTGCCACTCCTCTGCGTGTTGTTGTCTGACATACTCTTTAATTCAACGATTCTGTGTCCCTGAGTAACGATTCTGTGTCCCTGAGTAACGATTCTGTGTCCCTGAGTAACGATTCTGTGTCCCTGAGTAACAATTCTGTGTCCCTGAGTAACAATTCTGTGTCCCTCAGTAACGATTCTGTGTCCCTGAGTAACAATTCTGTGGCCCTGACTAACGTTTCTGTGTCCCTGAGTAACGTTTCTGTGTCCCCTGACTAACGTTTCTGTGTCCCTAAGTAACGTTTCTGTGGCCCTGAGTAACAATTCTGTGGCCCTGAGTAACAATTCTGTGGCCCTGAGTAACGTTTCTGTGGCCCTGAGTAACAATTCTGTGTCCCTGACTAACGTTTCTGTGGCCCTGAGTAACGTTTCTGTGGCCCTGAGTAACGTTTCTGTGGCCCTGAGTAACGTTTCTGTGGCCCTGAGTAACGTTTCTGTGGCCCTGAGTAACAATTCTGTGTCCCTCAGTAACAATTCTGTGTCCCTCAGTAACAATTCTGTGTCCCTCAGTAACAATTCTGTGTCCCTAAGTAACGGTTCTGTGTCCCTCAGTAACAGTTCTGTGTCCCTCAGTAACAATTCTGTGTCCCTAAGTAACGGTTCTGTGTCCCTCAGTAACAGTTCTGTGTCCCTCAGTAAGAATTCTGTGTCCCTAAGTAACGGTTCTGTGTCCCTGAGTAATAATTCTGTGTCCCTAAGTAACGGTTCTGTGTCCCTGAGTAACGATTCTGTGGCCCTAAAGTCTCTGTGGCCCTAACTCTGTCCCTCAATACAGACAGCACAGGTCTGTCTCTCTTGAATGACCGGAGGCTAATGAAGAATTCTAAGATGGCCGCGATTTATAGCTCCACCATTACACAGTGCTGGCTGGCTGGCTGCTGATTGGCTAATGCGATCACATGTCATGAATGAATGCATTATGGGTCAGCGCGCCTTGTCTGCGCGCCTTCCCAGAGATCCCCGCCCCATCTTCTCTGTCCATTTTCTCCGTCGCCGCACATGTCGCCGCCATTTTTGGGAAATTTTGATTCGCGCGTCCGAAGTTGGCTAATTTTCGGATTCGTCGCGAATCGAATATTTCCCAATCTTCGAAACGAATTCCACTTCGCCATGTTCGATTCGCTCATCTCTAGTCATATTGCTTGCGGGGGGCGGGGGGTTTGACCATTTCCTTACATTCAAGTCCTATATAACCACAGACATAACTTGGAAGTCTCAGTCTCGTCTTCAGAGCTTGCATGCGTCTGTGGTCACCTATGGCACGCCATCACAGGGGGGGACTCAGTGGTGAGACAGCATCTTTAGTTAATGCGGAGTTCCAGTCACACTGTAAAAAATTAATAGTCAGTGGCTACAAAAACTGTAACTGCTGAGTTTTAAAAAAAACAGCCGTTCACCTGTCCCTCGGCCCCACGGTATCCCCCCTGCAGCCTGCATACCCCCACAACCACAGGCCACGGTTGTGGGAAAGAGGCCCTTGTCCCCATCCACATAGGGACAAGGTGCTTTGGAGGGGAGCCCCCCTGACCCAAAGCACCCCCCCATGTTGAGGGCATGTGGCCTGGTATGGGTCAGGAGGGGGAAGCACTCGCTCGTCTCCCCCCTTTCCTGACTTCCTGGGCTGCAAAGGGCTTGGTATGGATAGGAGGGGGGGACCCCATACTGTTTTTTTTTTTTTTTTAGTTTAATTGTCTGGCGATGCGGACAATTCTTTTGACATTCAGCTGTCGGCGGGGAACCCCTCTGACAGCAGAAACATGAATAAATGTCTCACTACTAAAATACCGCGTGACTTCATAATATAACTCAGGCCGGATTTTAGTAACTGAGCGGAATCTTACCACATACTCAGATGTAAAGTTCGTGTTCAAAGTTTGTAGTTGAACATTCTGTAGGTTTGACCGCGAACCAAACATGGGGGTGTTCAGCCTATCACTACTTTGCAATAGAATAGAAAATAAATCTGTGAATAGAAAATAAAATAAAATAATAGAATAGACCAGATTACAATTGAATATAATAAAATAGAGCAAATATAGGCGTCTTCCAAGATGTGAATTTTGAATAAATTTGAATATTGAATCGACTTATAACAATTATATGAAACAAATTCCGAAAATGAATTATTCTAACATAACGAATATGACAAAATGAAATTATTAACTTAAAAGAGAAATCCAAAAGGAAACACATTTTTCCATCGTACACATCTCTTGTCTATTCTGCCACTGATATCTTTTCTCTGAGTAATGGTGGAGTCCAAGAAAGAACCCCAAAACATATTAGTGCCAGCGGTGATGTGGAGCTTGTACATGTTCATGGGGTGTCTGTGTACTTAGTAAGGTCTTGGCTTCATTGCACGGCTGTCCGGGTTGCAGCCCGGACTATTCATCTCCAAATGCCGGCTAGTGGTCAGGAAGTCAAGTTTTTCTTACAATTATATTCCTGGTAAAGACAGCTCTTTGTGAATGCCCCATACAGCCATGGCCAAAAATCTTGTTTCCCCCCCCCCCCCCTTCCTGTATTTCTGTCAGATGACGCACCACTTCACCCAGAAAATTGTTGCAATGAGAAATGTTTCGGCATTCTCATTTTTACTTCTTATGTTTGTATTGGTGACACAAAAAAGTAGAGAAACAAAAATCCAAATCTGACACATTCCATGCAAAACCCCAAAAATGGACTGCAACAAAATGATTGGCACCCTTAATTTAACAACTTTTTTACTGCGCTATGGCGGCAATTTTAGGGGGGCAGCACCCCCCCCCCATTCTCTAAGAAGGGATCTTTTGAGCAGTGGCGGATAGCAGAAAGATCGATGTGGTGGGGCGTGGGGGAGGGCAGTTACAGAGCAACGATCGTGTACCTCTCCCTCCAGCAGCTGACGAGCCAGGACCAGGGGACAGCCTGGAGCAGGGAGAGAAGTGGCAGAGATGAACGAGCTCGGAGGAGGTGAGTTGTGTTGTCTTGTGGGCTCTCCCTCCTGTCATCTATCCATCAGATTACACACTGACAGATCGTATGAGACTGCACACACCTTCCTGCTGCACAGAGATCAAAATAAAAATGTTTGTGTTGCCTAGGGCAGCACAAAATCTAAATACACTACTGGTGGTGATTTAGTGGAGGACTAAATCGTCCGGTGCTTATCTGTTCCTGTCCTAATTTATCATTCTAGCTTTGGAATGTGTGCACACTGGAAGAGACTCACACTGACACACAAGTTCAGTCTATGAACACTTCTAGTTTATTATGAAAAAGTGAGCTTATATATGCAAAATGATGCAAGAGTCAAGTGAGAACAGCATAAGCATTATATTAGTCTTTGATTGGTCACTTTACACGAAAACAATCTCCGTCATGGTATAGGTGTGATCTTCTTCCCAAGTCTTATCTATAGAAAGAAAAACATTCCTTTGTCTCAAGTTGGCACGGTGGGAGGGGGTCTGTGCGTGTGAGCAAACATTTCTTAAGCAAGGATTTCTTAAAGTACCACAAAGCCCAGCAGGCAGAAAATATTCACACAACATATATATTCATGCTAAACATTTATAAATATGAAGAAAGAAATAGTATTAAAGTATAAAAATAAATATGTACAAAAATGTGTAGAAAAACATGTATACAGTATATATATATATTCAATAGGAAACCAAATAGGCATTTTACCAAATCCATCACAGTGGTATGGCCGAATGACAGCTATAGTGGGTGTCTTATGACATCCTCCCAGAATGCGCCTCTCCACAACCCCCCCCCCCCCCCAGAACAGAGGTGCTGTCTGTGATCTTTGTATCCAAAGGACACAGCTGATCACATGGAATGATTAAAGGCCAATCATGGTTGCTGGATATCGGCATCACACTGTCATAGCCTGAGGAAAGTACAGCCGATAACAAGCAATTGTCACAAGAGACATCTACAAAAGTGCCTGCCCAGCCATGACTAACAGTGCTGCCAATCTGTGCTGCCTATCAGTGCCGCCAGTAAGTACCATTCAGTGTTGCTTATTAGTGCCCATCAGTGCTGCATATGAGTTCAGCA